GCAATTTGTCAATTTTAAGTACTACCGCACCGTTGCCGCTGTTTATGTTTAATATTATGACAATTAGATTTTTTTGTGGAATTTTCGGAAGCTTCTCTGATTTTTGCAGTTTGTATTTTTTAAATTGAAATCGTTGTGAGAGCTACCAGAATTGGTCGACAGGTTGGCGACCACTGATCTAGATTGACCAGAGGATCATAAGGGGTGTTAATTGACTCACTCAGTTTATGAGCAATCGTGCAGTAAAATTCATCAATTGAGTTAGGATTAATTGAAATGTCAACTTTTGTTTTCCTTGATTTCGCTCTCAGGTAATTTATAATTGACCAAGTTTCTTTGATTTCGTTATTCGACTCTCCAATCCTGTTGTTATAGTACTTATGTTTAGCTAGTTGGAGAGTGGATCTATAGATTTTTCTATAAACGTTGAAATAGGAAGAAAAGAAATGGTTATTAATTTTTTTTTGAGATATTGCAATGAGCGCAAATTACCAGAAGAGATCTTCAATCCTTTTGTCAATCAGGGTTTCTCAGTTTTCATTTTAATTTTTTGATTAGGAAAAGACTTGTTAAACACATAAGTTATTTATTATGGAAAGAAGAGAAAGGATCAGTTTCAGTCAAGGTACTCTGCCAGTCGATCACGAGACAATTCATATAAAACCTATCGAAATTTGAGCAATTGAACAGTTTACCAAACTTTGTATGCACCTGCTTCCTCGATGACTCGCCGAGAAACGAACAAGTTATAGGCTTCATGGTCAGATAATCCTGAGGGGACAACTGAACAAGTAACATTTTGTATATTGAAATTGCTACAAATATAATCGATGCGAGTTGCAGAGAAGCGGGATATGCGAGTATTTTCTTCCACATGCATACTCAAGTCAAATGTAAGAAATAAATTTTTTAGTGATTCCCTAGCATAGGAATCACCGTCATTATAATCTATATTAAAGTCTCCTGTTATTATCAGGGAGCAATTCAGAGGAAAATCAGAAAGTAATATTTCTAAGTTATTTGGAACCTTTGGTGTAGTAATGAATATTATGGAGTTTTTTCCCAACACCAAATCGTTATTTTTAACACCTCAACACTTGTTTCGATCACCAAGTGATCATCTTCAAGAGTTTTATCTTATTGAACAAAAACATTTTTTGTGGAAGAAAAATCAGTTTTTTATCGACCTTTTTTGGGTATTTGTTATCTTCCACAATCTGAAAAATATAAAAATTATAATGGAAAAATTTATACAAGTGTAGAAGGGCAAACTTTTTAGTTTACCCCGATAAGTTACTGTGTAAAAATCAAAGTATTTTTCACAAAGAAAAATCTTCTATTTATCAGTAACTTGTCGTATTTTTTATCTTCCTCTTGAAGATGATCATTTGGTGATCGAAACACGTGTCGAGGTGTTGAAAATAACGATTTGGTGTTGGGAAAAGAGTCCAGCTTGTACATTTGTACATATTTTTATACAATGAAAGTTTGAATCTTTACCATTGAATAGAAAACGTTTTCAGTAAATGTTTATGAGTACTACTTACCGAACTGATATTAGTGTGATTTGCAAGCATAAGACCAGACACTCTATGGGCTGATTGGATATAAGGTGATTTTCTAGAAAGAGCTACTTGAATACTTGCTGGACCCCAGGGAATAAATTGTGCTAGTTTTCTTTCACGAATTCGCTGCAGTGATTTGTGAACTTGAGTAGGATCAACTTCACCCTGTAATGAAAAGTCTAAACTATTTCTGGGAATGAATTCAATATCAGATTATTCAAAATCCTAGTGTTACTTATTTGAAAATTTCAATACAATTATGAACAAAATAGTTGCAAGATATTAAAAATTTTCTACAGAAGAATATGTGGATGAAATTACTCAAAAGTGGTTAATATAGCCAAAAAATAAAGTCTAGTGCTGTTCAACACGTCTTGAAGAAATCTTTTTAAAAACTGTTCTTCCGTTAACCAGCCGTCATCCCCTTATGAAGGACAACTCTCAAAAGTCGAATCTTGTGCGAGCTGAGGACTAACAATTCCACTATTCATAGAATAATTAGGGAACAACTGCTCCACCAATATCACATTCAGAAGGTAAATGCCATGACACCTGAAGATTTTTCAGTACGACTGGAATATGCCAATTGGTAGACGGATAAGCAAAGATATGACTTTTATTAATCGAGTTCTATTCACTGATGAAGCAGTTTCAGTTTCATAATCTCCACAATAGGCCAAAGAAAATCCCTATGGAATATTGCAAACCAAACACCAACGGAAATTTAACGTGTATGTTTGGGATGGTATCATAGGAAACCATATTATAGGACCATTCGTTTTGAATGACCGATTGAATGGCAAACGTTCTTACCGAACGATTTGAATGGACTTTTGGAACATGTTCCATTGCGATCCCGAATATATATACAGTGTCACCATTAAAGTGCGCACCATATGGGAAACTTTTT